GCTGTTTCCGAGTCGCAAGAGCTTTCTTTGCGAGAGCTGAACGGACAGCCGGTGTGCCAAAGACATGGCGAAGCTGATCTTTGAAGGCTGACCAGTCGGGGATGTCCATGAAGTGGTTGAGGAACCACGTCTTCGCGACACCCGCGAGGTAGAATGACACGTAAGCGAGTTTGTAGGTGTTATCCCACCGGTTAGCAGCGCCGACCCGTTCGAAATCGTCTAGCCATTCCTCCACATCTTCCCCGCGCATACCAGCGAAGGGATGGGGCTCACGCTGGAGGCTGTTAATGACGTGAAAAGGCGCGGCACACGGTGGCGGAGTGGGAACGGCTGCAGCACCGACCTCTTCTTGGTGCGACATATTTCCGGACACCTGGCCCAAGCGGCGACCTGAACGTAGCTCCAGGGGGTAGAGTGGTCGAGAGGATGGCGGGGGATCCAACAGCACCTCCACCACGTATGGAGTCTTGGTTTGGAAGACCTTTATTAGGCCCGAGGAACCGCCAGCCGACAGCTGAGATAAACGAACCAAGATGATGATGCTACGTGACAACGATGAGGATGCATGAGCAACACATGATAATGATGATAATTTACAGATGAAGAGGATTGGTATACTAAATGTCCACAATATATTGAAACATTACTCTCACTATATATATATATATATATGTATGTGTGTGTGTGTGTGTGTGTGTGTGTGTGTGTGTGTGTGTGTGTGTGTGTGTGTGTGTGTGTGTGTGTGTGTGTGTGTGTGTGTGTGACGTATGAAGCGATGGTGGGTAGAGGCAGAGAAGGAAGAAGTATGGAATAAACATGGCGTATGAGCCAGGCCATGTCTCCCATTCATCCTAGCGTCACACGAGTCGACAGGATGAAGACCTGGCCACCGCTAATCAACCTCACATCATTCACGAAGCCACCGGCAGTACGCCTCAACTGAATATCGACCACAGAAGAGATGATCCCAGGCGCATACAGTTACCGGCATCATGACAGAACCATCGACTGACCTTCCCATTCCCATGTACACCGGAGCACCGGACGATGGACCTGTACAGGACTGGTTCGATCTGTTCGAGCTCCACGCTACTACTGCATCATGGTCGGAATGGGAGATGATCACCAACTTCACTGACTACATCTCCGGTGAGGCATTTAAGTTTTACCTGAAACACATATTCGAAAACGACGAATCATGGCAAAAGATCAGAGAAGAGATGATTGCCCGTTTTACCGACTACGACAAGGACTTCCTCATTATCGACCATCTGCACACAACAACAGTTGGCCGTCACAATCCATGCTCATTTCTCAAGAAACATAGCCTTCCACCAGGTTTCTCTTCGCGAAAACTTGTGTTTTCAAAGTCGTTGCGCCAGCACACAACACGAGGCGTTGCTTACCCACCTAAGGCACTTCATTCTTCGTCTCGCGTACGTGGTCCACCACCCGCGTTTCAATCACGCGGCTCTTCAATCGCTCCTGACGCTCTCTGTTTGCCTCATAAAGACACCGCGTTCCCGATAGACTAGCTGATGCATCAGGAAAATACCCTGTCGAGCCATGCTCCTTCCGCACGGGTTCATGCATCACCGTCCGGTGCATACACACTCGACAGTCGAAGCAACACCAAAGACTCAGGCGCATCGAACGTCGCACGCTGCAATGCCCAAGAGCCTCTCATAGTAAACAGGGTAGAAGAAGCTTCGGAAGAACTTTCTATCAAATCTGAAGCATTATCTTCACTGCTCGAACTACATGACAACAGCGCACAGACTGCCAGCTGCTGACTGGGCACTACATCAAGTTGTCACGAAAACCACCGCGATGTTCAAGAAAGGATCTCACCGCAATACGTTCCGCAGCAACATCACCAACGCCAGCAAAAGCAAGTCCAAGAATCGCAGACACTCCAACGGATACACCGACAAGGGCGACGACGCAAAGTAAGCCTCTTAAAAGAAACTCAAGACGTGAGAAATCTTCGCATATTGGATCGGTGCCAGAAGCGCATTTGGCGCAAGAGATCAAGACTGTGCCTACGATTACAGCTCCGAAATCACAGAAAACGACGAAAGAGACGAGAAGGCACCATCTACAACGCAGAGACCAAGACATCATTCTGATTTCATCAGCTGCGACCATCGCACACGCAAACTGGAAGCACACCGTCTGTTCCCGCCACGACACACAACTCGACGCCTTCAACATACGAACATCAAATGCTACAGGGACTCTCACTCTGGTCCATTCCTCGCAAGGACTCAACCCATGTCACCACCAGTGCAGATCTCCAGGGTGTGGTTATGCCATCCAGAACGAAACAGTCAGCCTCGCCCACCAGAACTCCTGCGTTAACCGGACTGCTGCACTCTCCACTGAAGTCTTAGAAAGTTTACGGAACTCCTCTGAAGCATAGAATCAATTGTGACATTTGCCATTTCTGACTTTTCAACCTCTCCTTGTTTACTTTTTCATAATTGATGCCTTCTTTCGGGGGGAGGGGGATCGTGTGACGTATGAAGCTATGGTTGGTAGAGGCAGAGAAGGAAGAAGTGAGAATAGCATGAACATGGCGTATACGCCGGGCCACGTCTCCCATTCATCAGAGCGTCATATATATATATATATATATATATATATATATATATATATATATATATATATATATATATATATATATATATATATAACATACAATAATGCCAAACAAAGTATAGGAGAGGTTATTAGACCCAACTTTAAGGAAGGTAATTGTGAAGAATTAAAGTGGGTGAAAAGAACACTTCTCGTGGGCAGGAACCTGTGACCTTCGAATAACGCGTTCTACGCTCTACCACTGGGCTACCACGGCGGCTATCCTTCCAGCCACTTTATTGAGTATATATAAGAATTTGAACGCGGGAATGTCAGACAGCGCTAGCAGTAGCCACGGCGGCGAGTGTGACACACTCTTTTATGAGCCTTTCTGGCGTCACGTAGGACGTGAACTTATTACGAGCTGGCAGCTGACCAACAGTCCCTCGTATACCACCTAAGGCACCAAGTCTGCCAGTACGAAGCCCTCGTTAATGAATAAAGAAAAAAGTGTATACTTAAGGGCTCGTTTTTCCGTGCTTTGACACGATAATATTGATATGTAACAGAAAATAATGTGAAGAAATTATAGGGGAGGTTATTAGACCGAATGTAAGGTAAATGTGAAAAAGAAGAATGGGTGAAAAGATAGTTTGCCGTGGGCAGGAACCAAACCGGCGACCTTCGAAAAGATAACTTCCCTCGGCAAGATATCTTTTCACCCACATTCCTTTCTTTACATTCACCTCGCGAGTTGGTCTAATAACCTCTCCTATATTTTCCTTGGCATTATTGTCTGTTAGATTTCATTATCATTGTTTCAAAACACGAAAAACGAGCCCTTAAATATACACTACTTTTCCTTCTATACGTATACATATATGTAGGGGTTATAGGGAATATAGGGGTTATATGGATTATAGGAAGTATCGCGCTGGCTTTTATATGTAGAAAGGACGGTATTTGACACGCACCGAGCGTTTTAACAGATACATGTATTATGCACGTGGAAGAGATTGTAAAACTGTGCGGTGTGCACTCGAGAGCCCAAGTATGTCCGAAGGAGACAAGGTTGAGCATCTTCAAATGCATAGACAGAGTCACAATCGCCTCTATATTAGTCTATCTAGCCACAGAAAATTCGTTATCTGTGTACGCAGTAATGGAACACTGCTACACGCTCAAAGCATTCAAGATGCGTCGCATAGCACCAAAGTTCGGTCGGCTGTATAATGTGCCTGCAGTGGCCAGTGCCAATGCCCGCCCACCAATTGACCTTTCGTCATTGACATGGCAGATTTCATTAGAGGCACTGCTCCACTGATTCAAGTCAGCCGTTGTGGTGGGAATAACTCTCGTGGCAATGACCCCGGGCTACCAACTATCTCTTGGCAGCTCTTTCCTTACACGGTATACGTAGACAATTACCAAGCCGTGCCCCGGTCAGAACCCGCAAGTTGATTTTACTCCAACAGTGAGCAGCAGCAGCGTCTCTACACTTAGTTGACGCCACGCTGATCAAGAACCACGCTCAAACACACCACGCTGATCAGGATATATGTTCAGCTTTTGCTGACGGAAGTAAGAGGATTCATATGTATCGCGCATTTCATTCTCCTTCCCATGCCTCGGTCTAACAGGTGACACCTTCAGGCTTTGAAACCATCGACGGCTGTTCAAACCAGAGCCCTAAGCAGTGTGGCTGATGGGCATGAAATCATTAGATACTATATGCTGCCAAACAACATATTTCCTTCAGCCTTCACGCTGAACAACAAACATTATGTGTGTTTGTCTAGTGTGGCATATGTGGCTCTTGTAAATACTGGGGAATAATTTCGTGAAGAGCCTTAGTTTTGAAGGTCTACTTTTAACATAAAGGTCTTTTACTGGAAAAAATAAATCAATGTTCATGGCTCTCGTGGTGACACGTTGTGTACGGTTGGTGTTTGTACTGCTGACGTTTGCTTGTGAGGCAAAATATTCTGTATTGAGTTCACCATTATTCTTCAATGTACGCGCGTTCTGATTTTGGGCATTGATTTTTTGTGTGAGTGGGGTGAAAATGTTGACTTTCCAAGTGTGAGGTGTCAGTACACGTTGAAGTATTGCCCGGACGCTTGGAAAGTGTGCCAAAGGATTAAGGCATTGCAGTTCTGCAATGCCTTATTTAGCGCATTGAATGTCAATGGTTTTTCTCGAACTTGAAAGGATTCATGCATTAAAATTTTACCATTGAGTCTTATATGCAAAAAAAATCTTCACGCCATTTTGGCATTTTAGATTATTTCACAGGGTGTGCAGGACATATGCTAAAAAAGGGTAGCTTTGTCTGCATTTTATATGGTGGCCAATTACTCGTCATCTAGCTTCCATTGATTATCCTTTACACAAATGGATCTGTATGATTTTCTTCACAGCTTATGGAGGAACCAGCAAGAGACAGCAACCGCTATGACGTCTTGACGCCAACCATAATCAAGCCTTGCTTGGATGGGGATAAAAGCAAGCAGCAGGAGCACCTCTTCCAACTTCCCTCGGCAGACCCTGCTTACGAGGTTTTCTCTGTCTTCTGATTAAAACTAAGTGGTCGTGCATGCCTTATGCTTAGAACGCCTCATCATCGCGTAGAAGATTATATTGTGCCCTTCAATGTTTTCTGCCATTTGAAAGATTATGCGATGATTCTCCTGGCAACTTCTGTAAGTACCTATACGTCGAGACAAGTTGATTCATTTGGGAATACTGTCAACTCTCTTGGGACACTCCTTACAAAGAAGGCAACTTGCATCAAAGAAAATAACAACATTCACAAATACACAAATACAGGATACATCAAGGTCAAATGGTATGCAAGTGCAAATACTCATTCCAGGTCTGTTAGAACATAGACAAATTGTTCTGCTCCACAACGCACATAGCCAATTCACTCTATATTTCGTTTACGTTACGAAAGGAGTATCTGACCGTATCGCTGTGAGTGCTAGACACTTGTATCACCCTATCAGGGTTAGTTATAGGTGTTGGCAAATCACTAATGAGTGCGCGAGATGTATGTGCCCTGTTGTTGGCAGTGAAGAAGAATAAGAAGAAGAGAGACTCTCGTGCAGTTTAGCATGTGTGGCGGTTGTAGCCTGTGTGGCTTTGAGAGTTTCTTGTGAGTTTGGTAAATTATTCTTCTACTACAACGACTCGTGTTCTTCAAGGATGCTGTGAAGACAACATTTCAGAAGTGGGATGGTAATCCAGCCGGTACCGGATGAGTGAATGTGAGTTCGATCAATGCTAGGAACTGCTTAACCCTGAATAAAACGCACCGACGAACGAGTCAACCCGATTGGTGATGGAAACGCGGACTCCGATCACGGAGACAAGATCACAGCTTTTGAACTACTACAGTCTATTCAGGAAAATGATCAACTGCGAGCGACCCTGCTGGCACGACTGGTCTTGGGCGGTGTGGCCCAGTGCCAACGTTCTAGGTGATCACTGACTTTAGCCGCATCATCAGTCCCTTCTACGGCTCCGAAGACGCTCCTTCAGCGCACAAGTGGATTTAGAATATACGCAAAATGTCGGATCTGCATGGGTGGCAAGCTGCTTACACGCTGGAAACAGCAAAGGCCCGATTGGTTCAAGTTGCCAAGAGCTGATACTCTTCCTGCTGCTTCAAAATCACATCGTGCAAAGAATTTGAGCAACGTTTCTGTCGGATCTTTGGCAGCCAGACGTGCGTTGCGTCAAGACGGCGCTGGGTGCAAAAGCGCGTGCAGCAGTGTACCGATAGCAACACTGCCTACTTCCACACCAAGGTGCCTTTTTGCCACAAACTCAGCCTGGACTTTATTGATACGCAAGAGCAGGTTCTCTCGGAATTGCGGTAGGATGCATGACGATGTCGACGACCTACTGCACCACATCTTGGAGCTGGAACGCATCGAATGGGAACGACATAATATTTTCAGCACACGCAACCGAAACCTTTATTTACTATCAGGTTCGGAAACGCTGCTGCCCGCTACCATGGCAAAATATTCGACATCCAACGCGAAAAAAAGAAAAGAGCGACGCCAGCCATTACCACCCGTCAACCAACACGTCACATCGGAGACTGACGTCTACGCGACAGGCCGTCGTCTGCTCTTTACAGAAAGCGGCCCGGCGGAAACAGACGATGCCCTGGGTCTACAAGAACAAGAAGGCGCGCCTGCGGCGTCCACAAAAGCACGCGTAGACCCGCTTTTGAAACAGGCCCCGCCGGACGCCCAGACTTCTGGCAATTGTAGAGCACTGACAATGAAGATGAGTGAAGATCCGAAGTCCACGATGTCTACTGGATAATTATGAAAGCCAAAAGACGAGGAAGAAGCTGAAGCTAAGAGTTAAAAAAGCAGATGAACTCCCAAACTGGTAGTGTTGGAAAAGAGCGCGAGGTGGATGGAGTGAAGGCAAAACACCTAACGGAGAAAGAAGCAACAGTAAAAGGCACTCAAGAACGGAAGTAAAAGGAAGAAGAAGAAGCAGACCAGATACAGAAGGGGACAATTAAAGAGAAGCGGGAGGAGGGCGAGGTTTCAAAGGATGAAATGCCGAAAGGCCAGTCGAGCCCACGTGACACCAAGGAGATGGGAAGTGCCACAGACAATCTGTAGGTAGAATCACCGCAGACAAGCCAAAAGCTGAAGGGCAAGCTGGACGAAGCATCGAAGTCAAAGCCTAGGCAAGAAGACACCAGCATCGCGCGTGTTGTGCTTTTCTTCAAGGTCAAGCTAGTCAACATGGCCGGAAAATACGAGATTTTCTTGAAAGTTTCACGCTACGAACTGTCGAAAATCTGCGTGTCATGAATAACATAACACGTTAGTTTATATAGGTAGCTATTTTCTTGAATATTAGTTACTTTCTAGTTTATCTTGTTTTTAACGTGTATGATTCAGAATGTAGTTTAATAGAATCATCAAGTGTTTGCACAAAAAGCAATTAGGTAACATTGCCAAAGGAACCACAACAAGGACGTTAAGCCGTTTCAGGATGGATAAATGTTGGCAAAAAACTAGTGCGCCCACGAGATGCCTCTGCCATGTGGTAGGCAGTGAAGAAGAAGAAGAAGAGAGACTCTCGTGCAGTTTAGCCTGTGTAGCGTTTGCAGTCTCTGTGGCTTTCAAAGGTTCTTTTAAGTTTTAGTCAAAAATTCTTCTAATACAACTCGTCTTCTTCGAGGACACCACGAAGGCAAATTTGGGATCAACTTTCCTAGTGACAATCAATTGGCTGCCTGGCTAAAGTATTTTAGTGTTTGTTTGTTGTTTTTAAAATCTGCCGTTTTGAAGGACTTTTCCTCTGCGAATTTTTAACTGATGCACGTCATAAGAATGGAACATTTGTGTAACTGAATCAGTCATGCAATAGCTGGAGCATATAAATTGCACCGCGAACTTGTGAACGTACCTTTATTCCACCCACACGTACTGAAATTGTAGCCTTACATAGGTTTTGTAAGCAATAAGTCTCACAATGGCTGTCGCACCCTTTAGTTGTAATTGCGAAGCTTTTATTAGCTAACCTGGTGACTTTTAGCGTATCTATCTATCTCTCTATTTATATATCTATCTATCCATCTATCCATCTATCTATCTATCTATCTATCTATCTATCTATCTAGCCGGCTATGACGTATAGCTTTTCAGGCCGTTTAGATAAAGACATCGATACCAATGATTTAGCATACCATGAATGTATGACAATCATACGTGGCTAGTCTTAACATGAAAATCGTGATATGTAAGTTATGAATGTCATGATTTTTATTTCATAGTCTTGCTGCTCTAGCGATGGTCCCATTCGTATGACTTATTGCAAAACTCGCATGATATGACAAGACTGCATGGCGAGCATAAGTGGCAGGCACTAACGTGGAAACTATAACATGCATGTCTAGTAAGTCATGACTATACACCACGCTAATGGTGTGCTCGTGGTCGTTTCATTAGCTTTATATATACCAAATTTGGTATTACGGGACGTGGATTTTCGATGAAGGTATATGACTGGTGCAAAGATAATAATCTTGAAATGCATGTTATGTAAGATCATAACAACATGCCACACTCATGTCGCGCTCACGGCTGATTCGCTAGCTTCGTATACTACAAATTTGGTATTACATGACGTGGATTGCCGACGAAGGTAAATAACAGGTGCAAACATGATAATCATAATATGGGTGTAATGTAAACATGACTACTTTCTTGGCCTATAGCGCGCTCGTGGCCGTTTCGCTCGTTTCGCTAGCTTCACATGCATGGCAATTTGCTATTTCGTAACGTGAATGAACCGCGAACACAAATGTCAGGCGAAAACATAAGCAGGAATCAGAAGTGATGTACGGCTTAATTTGCGTCCGCCTGGTAACGTAGTAGCTGATTTTAAAGTCACATATTAAACTTCCTCATTCGTGTTTCGCATATCATCGATTCCCACCCTACGTGGGATCCACAAATTTTTCAGAGGAAACATAGCCTCCAAATTTGTGCTTTCAAAGAAAGAATATTTATGCGCACGCTCAAGGTTAAATTACGCGTCATCTTTGATCTGAGACACCTAAACTGGGTAGTACTTAGGCTCTTGTTTAAAATATGATGTCAGGGCATCAAAATACGTGGGTAACAAGTAGTAGACTAGACAGCGCTTACTCTATAAACTGATGATTTCTAAACCAGATAAAGTTTGTATAGCAGATACACGATTCCTGGCGCATGCGTTTTAAATGAACTTATATCTGGCTTTCCACAAGGTATAAGCCCCACGTGTCTGGGCAAAAAACACGTACTACTCATGATGTATCGCCATTGCAGCTTGACTAACGAGGTCATGTCCCCTCGCTGGGCTTTTCCTTTATTCAGGTATTCCTTATGTCTAAAAAATAATGTAGCTTTCGTTAAGCTCAGAATAACATCCGCAGATTTCACAATCAGTAGCAAGATTAGTGTTGTTTGACGCCTTTGGAGCTGCGAGCCGATTACTCGCGCATCTTGCACAGTGAGTGACGTACACTTTACGAGAAAAAAACTGTATTATGTCGGCCATTGTTCTTACGCATTTATACACTGGTTTCGGTGTTACAGGGAGCAAACCCTCAATTCTGTGTGCACATCGACGCGCCGACATACACTTGCCAGCCTTTGTTCTCCCCGGAACACATCATCACTTCTACGCTGTCTTTGCTGCCAACATGTTTAAAGTTGTGCGCTAACTTGTGAACGTAGGTTACAACAGCCTATTTTCCTACGATTCTTTGACTACGATATGGCTCATTGTTCTCTGCCCTTTATTTCTGTGGCTAGAATTGTCCCTACTAAAAAAATTATTTGCATGAGGTAACCCCACTTCACAAGTTTTTCCAGCTGATCACCACTGATACTGCCACTTGTTAGATGAGCACGTGGTTTTCGGAACTTGGTTATGAGACAAAACTTGACGATTCTCCTCTTTATAAACTTACATTGCCTGGAAGCGTAACCTAGCACTGGTTTAGGAGTTCTTGGGTGGTAACAGCAGC